GACGTCGTCATGTTGAGAGAACAAATCCGGATTCCCCCCTCAGTGAAAATCTTTGCTCCTTATCCCGGGGAGAGAATAACAAGTCCTCCTCCGGGTTGCGTGGGCGTTTTTACGGAGAGTCTGAGGTCGGGATTAAGGTTCCCGTTGCCAAATTTGATCACGGAATATCTCCGGAGTTGGGAGTTACCGTTGTGCCAAATCACGCCGAATAGCTGGAAGAAGATAATCGGGCTAATGGTGTTGCTGCACGAGAGGGGTGAGGGACTTCCGTCGTGCGATGAGATGAGGAGTATCTTTGCCTTCAAACAAAGTCCGAAGAGGAGGGTGGCCGAATCGTCTTGTTGCTTTTTTGCCGGGGCGAAGCCGCAACATGGTGTTAAGGTTGGGGAAATCGTAACTGAGATTCCGGAGAGTCTCCATGGTTTCCAGGAAGAATGGGTGTGGATAGGTGGAGAATGGCAGTCGGTGGACTTCTTTCATGAGCGCCGAATTGATGGGATGACAATTCCCATGTTAATTCATTCCGGAGCCAGTGAGTTTACTTTCTGTTTTGTCAATTCGGATATGTTTGTCTGATTCTTGTATTGTTCTGTGTACTAACAGGTCGGAACTTTTACTCTGTTGTAGAAAAAGAGACAAAGCAAAAAGAACCGAAGTTAAGCCCGGAATTCGGTGGGAAGTTGATAACCTTGGCTGGTTTGGATAAAGCAGAGAGGGATTATCGCAAGCTTGTGGTTGACTCGAAACTTGAAGCGGCTGGTTTGTCTTTGGGAGTCACGACATCGAAATTTGACCCCGGTAAGAAAAGTTTAGCCAGTAAAAATGTCGAATTTTCTTATATATATGAAACAACTGTTTGTAACTCTTGTCTCTTGTTGATATGCAGTTTATTATCCTCTCCTCGGTTTCTTGGGCTATAACTCTGTCAAGGAAGCCAAAGAGTTCAGACGTAAATTTCCGAACAAAGACCTTCAGTCTAAAGTCGGTAAGAGCCGTGATCTAAGGTTGAACGACGCCATGAGGAGGGATCTTGTTCGCGCGTTGGTGAAAAAGACAGCCGGTCAGAAGAATGTTGGGAAAAAATCGACCGAGGTGGGGTCGAGTGCTACCTCGGCCGCTATGCCGGAGAG